ATTGCCTCCAATCCAGCGGTTCTCAACCTGTGGGTCGCGACCCCTTTGGCGGTCGAACGACCCTTTCACAGGGGTTGCCTAAGACCATCCTGCATATCAGATATTTACATGACGATTCATAACAGTAGCAACATGACAGTGATGAAGTAGCAACGAAAATAATTTTATGGTTGTGTCACAACATGAGGAACTGTATTTAAAGGGCCAGAAGGTGAGAACCACAGCTCTATTCCATTCAAGCTGTCAGGAATCTCTGGGCAACCGGTTTTATTGCCTCAACTCAGGCCGCTCTGATAGCCTTAGGCCCTCTTTCATCCCCCATGCCTTCCTAGTTCCGGATTCCTCACCAAACCTTTTGTTGGAGACCAGGTGTAAGCTGACAAGGTCCTTGCACCTGAAGGGTCTAGCTAAGCTGGGACCCTTACCCACACAGTTTTCCCAGACTTGTTTGGATGGCGATTCTCAGTAGAATGAGAGCAACCTTTGTAGAATGAGAACAGCCTTTCATGGCTTACCAAGAAGTCTGTAACTATTTACTGGGATTTGCTGTACCGAGAATTTGTCCTTCTGCTCTGTCTCTCCCTTAGAGATTAAGAGGAACAAAGAATACATTCCTCTTGAGACCTCCTATTCAGTGTCTTGTGTATAAATAGCATTGTGTGGTTAATAAACTTGCTGCAGTTCCTCGATTGAGCTGCAATCCTCCCGATCCTGCTCTCCTGTCTTTCTTTTCTCAATTCCCACCTCCCTACCTCAGCCCTGCTCAACCTGTCAGGCTGGCGCGGGACACCTTTCAGGTAGGTTTGATATGGAAATTCAATGCCACACCACCAAGATGTTTTTTATGTCCCTGCCCTCGGATCAAACCTCAAACTTCCTACTTTCTCTAATGAAGAGCATCTGGATATAAATTAATCTGAAGAGGACTGACTGAACCTTAAAATGTTTAGTCTTTGGGGCTCATATGCAAATGGGGCTGCATTACTACTAAGCACAGAACTTATATGCAGTGTCTAGAAAAGGAATAAACCCTTCTCACCTGTAGCCCAATTCTAGTTCATTTCTAGTCTCATTCATTCTCTCGATAACAAGGAATCAAACCTGTAAGACGCCTAAACAGCAAGCTGTTCTTACCTTTCCTTCCTCACCCTGCAGTACTTCAATCTTACTTGCAACAGAAGGGAAATCTGATTCAGAAGAGAATCAAATCTACTGATTTGCACAGTGTAAGCTCTTTTTGTATTTCCTCGTCACCCTGCAGTCCGCGCTC